GGGTGTTGTGAATGCTGTAACTAAAAATATATTAACATAGACTGGATCTCATTCTTGATTTGAAATTACCAGAAGGAACTAGAAATTGGGCTAAATCAAATGAATACAGCAATACCCCGTTAACTCGAACTCACATACCCCGTTATCTCGAACTCACATATCTCGAAAAATCAGCTAAGTCGAAATTTCCCGCAGTACCGAACATTTTCATATACATACCACGTATATTTTTCCCTTTATCTCGAAGTATTTTTTGCTCAAAATGTGGATAACTCGAAATCTCGACTGTGAGTGGAGCGAAAATTCCGCCACCGGACCGTTTCACAAGATTTGCATAATGCTGCCACGCCTGAATTCCGTAGATTTCTTTTTTCTTATTTAGCCGCACCTGCCACTACGTCGATGCTTTCCGCGAACGCGAAGTGAGCGAAGTCTCAGCCCAGTGACATAACTTTGTCAAGCAACACTGTGGCACGTCATGTGATAAACGCGGTGAGCAGAGAGGCCCTCTGCCCACGTTTGGCATAGTTTGTAGCGTTCGCTTTGTGCAGTGCACCGATTTCCCCTGAAGTATGATTTCCATTCATGTGCGCAAACTGAGCAGTACGGATTTTTCACTGACTGTGAGGAGCGGCAACTTTGCACGAGTGCAGCAAGCATGACGTCAAAGCAGTGCAAGTCACGCTAGAAAAAAAGGTTGCCCTAATTAAGGGGGACATGGGTCTTTAACATTTTTTTTCTGTTTTTGGCTCAATCTTGACCAAACCTCACCATCTTTGACAGTTTTTCATGCTGATTTCAAATATGTAATTGTTTCTGAAATAGCTTCAGTGGATAAAAAGATATTAACATCTGTAAATTAATTAATTATGCACTTCATTGGGGGCTTTTTAGCAACTTAATCAAGAAAGATCCAAAAAATAAATGCATAGCCCCAATGCTGAGGCCTTTCTGTATGGGGTGATGCTATTTTTATTAATGTTTAGGCATTATATAGATAAGAAAACAGACCAGCACTTACAATGGATATTCTGTTCAATTTTTGCTCATTACTATCCATAATTGTAATTAACAGTATGCTTTTAGAGTAATCAAAATAGCATCACCCCATAGGTAATGTTATTACAAATAAAATGATACCAAGTTTGTCATTCTCAATCAACAGTAACATATAAGAAAAACCCCTAAGGTTTAGTGTGGTGCGCAAAAACATCGAACTGAGAAAAACGCATTTAAAGTTTCTAATAATTGTAACTTTTGCTAAAGTGAAGCTAGAGCAATAAAAATGGCACCGTTGTATAGCTCTACATTATGTGAGTATGGCTGTACCAAATGTGTCAATTCACCTTCCCAAAATATTTGCCACAGCTCATTTAAAAACTGTGTACTGGCCGTTGAATCAGTATAAGGAACCCAGTCTACAACTTTGTGGCTGTTCTAGTGCACTGAAAACCAAAGGAAGACACATGTTATATATAAAAACCTCACCCTTTTATACATAAAACACTATTTCAAGTAAAACGCACATTTTTGTCCCAGACATCCTTACAATTCTACAGCATGCCAGGGCTGTATGCAGTGTCTCTTGCAGGCTTATGTCGCTTTGCAAGTGTTGCCTTTGTTGAACTGCTCTGCAGGTGCTCCCTCCGCGATTTGTGAAGCCTGGTTTTATCCTTTTCAAGGCTACGACGCATGAAGAGATTTCCTGCACTGTAGCCTAGCTTCTCAGCAATTGCTTCATTGCTCTTCGTGGCCCCCTGATTAAAGCGGCTGATGGCTTCAGCCACTGCTCTTTCTACGCTGCGCAGTGAGGCATGGGTGGTCTTGGGGACTTGTTGCCAAATTGTAGCGTGTAAGCTCTCACTAGGATTCTGGCAATAACAGGCACTTGCGCCAGCGAGTCGTCGTCTGAATGTGCTGCCTCCGCAATAACAGGCATTTCCGACAGCCCGTTGTCGTCAGAATGCGCTGCCTCGGCCATCTCCGGCTTTCTCGGCGGCGCGCAGGCTGCTCCCTTCAGCCGCGCATTCCACGCTCGCTTTCGTTTCCTGCCGAAAGCTTGACGAGTGTTCTTCTTCAGGCGAGCTTCCCAAGCCATGCCGGCGAAATGCAGAAAGACGTATACGTCGGCGACGTTGGTACACGAGCGGGTAGCAGACGAGATAACACGCACGAGAGCAGGCGCCGACGGAGCAAAACCAAACAAAAAAAAAGAGCGAGCAACCGTGGCCGCGCTGCCGCGCCAGCCAATGGTAAGCGCGAGACGGGGGGGCTCGCTGGCGCGCCGGCGCTCTAGCCAATCAGCGGTCCGGCAGACGGCTTCGCAAAACGGGGGAGGGCAGTCGTTGTGTTGGAGCTACGCCATTTTGAGAGCCCGCAAAACGCGCACAAAGGAACCAGCTTCAAAACAAGCCCAAGATGGCGCCGATCCGCCGGCTGCTTCGCTGGCGGCGCGCGCGGGAAGTTCGAACAAATTTTCTGTTTTGCGGGTTGTTTTGCGACTCCCGTGATGGTTTGAAAATACATTTTAACCTATCTTTTTATCGAATTTAGTGTTAATAATTTGAGGAGAGGTGCTTATAGGTTCAAAGATTCAAAAAATGTGCTTTTCTCAAAATCGATTTTTTGGCCATTTTTTACTTTTCTAAGACCCGCGTCCCCCCTTAAGGAAGTGGGGAAAGGAGGCCAAACGAAATCGATCATCGCAGAGGAATTGGGCATCCCTTTGTCTACGATTCTGATGGTGCTGAAAAACAAGCACAAGGTGCTGGATAGATTTCAGCAGAGCTTCTCCGACCAGCGGAAGCGGGTTCGAAGGTCGAAGTTCCCAGACGTTGAAGCGGCGTTGACGATATGGCTGCGAAATGCCAGAGCGGCCAACCTTCCCATCACCACAGCAATACAGTAATGATGGAGAAGGCAGACGCTCTAGCCTTGCGAAAATGGGGCACACGGACTTCACTTGCAGCAGCGGCTGGTTTGACCGCTTCAGAAAAAAAAAAGGAACAGTGTAACGTCCAAGTCGGTGCTCAGCGAGAGTGGCACCGTCAATGCAGCCACTTCAGACAACTGGCGCAGCAGTCGGCTCATCAAGTTGCGGGAGAGTTACGCCTACAGCAACATTTTCAACCTCGACGAGGCAGCACTTTTTTTATAGAATGCTGCCGAGCCGCATCTTCACATCGAAGGGTGGAGCGTGCTCGGGAGTGAAACAAGAGGACAGAGTCGCTGCCTTTTTTTTTTTGGGCAAATGCCACAGGTGAAAAGAAGCAGCCATTACTCATAATTGGCAAACCTCTTAATAAGCTTAGGTGCTTTAGAAATGCATGACTTCCGAATAACGTTATCTATCAGGCGAATAGGGCAGCGTTGATAACTGCTACTCTTTTTGAAGTGTACGTTCGCGCTACAGATAACAAGATGGCCAAGAAAAACAAAAAATCCTGTTTATTGTCGACGATTGCCCAAGCAACGGCAAAATAGAGAATTTGGAGGCAGTGACAGTCGAGTTTCTGCCTGCAAATATGATATCTGTGCTGCAGCCGATGAACGAAGGTGTCATCGAAGTGGCCCAAAAAATTTACCAAAAGAGCCTTCTCCACAAAATTTTCTTGGCTTATGAAAACGGCACAGGCTATGAAATTGACCTCCTGAGAGCAGTACACCTTCACAGCAGTGCTTGGCACCATGTTCGCGCAGCGGCTATTGCCAATTGCATTGCACATGCTGGGTTTTCACGTGCCACTAGTTTGCTAGAAGAAAAAACGGCAGAAACAGATGACTTCACAGACTATGAGGAACTTTGTCAAGATGTCATCAAGCTTACTGGTAACGGTGCCATTGAAAATGACGTGACTTTTCTGGAGTACGCGCTGTGTGAGCAGGATATGGCAGTGAACGGAGAAATGACAAATGCCGCAATTGTTCTAATAACCACTAACGTAGGGGACGAGGAACATGACAGCGATGACAAACCCCCTCGAGAGGTGCAGACATCTTCTGAGACGAGAAATTTGCTGTGCTTGCTTCAAAATAGGGTTCCGTGCAGCGGCACAGAAGATTGACTGATGTGATGGGTCAACCAGCTGGAGGACGTCTTCCTAGGCCCGATTACGACTGCAGGCAGTTTTTTTTTCTCTGCTAAATAAGATGGCAGTGTAGCAAAACCCAGCCGGTTACAGTCTGTCGCATGTCATTTTTTTTCTTTTAAACCTGCACAAGAGGATTAGAAACTGCCACTTCGAGTTAACGAGGTATTACTGTAAATAGACAATATAGTTTCACCCCAAGGGAAACTTTCACAAAGTTATCACTGGTGTTCTTTCATAGTTGCCAGCACGTGATTATAAGACGAGGACATTATTGGAAACAAATGCTTAAATTACCCAGAAAGCAAGCACCGGAATCAATAGGCAACACAGCTAAGTGATTCGAACATGGGAAAATGAGTAACAAATAGCGTGCTTTGAGGATTAACCAACAAAGACAAGCCGAAACCAAGCATGATGTTTGGGGTGCTGGGGACGCCCACGAAAGAACACGGACGACTTTCCTAGCAATATCAGTCAAGATGAAGCATTCAGCATCGACTACGTGATTTAGTAGGTGAACGTATGGTAAATAATTGCTGGTAATGTGTACTGAGCAGGTTTGCTGCTGCATAAAATGTGCAAGTAGGTGTATTTATTCATTCACACTACAGTGTAATGCCTCCTCTGTTCCTTGAGCGCGGGATGCCCACAAGCATTTGGTTGTCACTTCTACAGGGTCCCAGTGACCAACACCACAAGGCTGAAAATAAAACTGGCAGCAGGTTGCTTGAACACACAAGATATGGCAGAGAAGACACGTTTTGTGCTAGTTGCTTCTATCAGAGTCAAAGTTAACGAGTCAACTTTTATCCCGGTATGAATATTTTTTTGGCTCAGCAAGATAAATGGATAGGAGTCTATTTATATTTGTGGTTGAACCATTTTCAAGTACATATATCATGCACTCACGGTCTAGTGGGATGATGGCTCGAGGTAGAGCTCTCACAGGACCCATGGCTGGAGCCCCAGTCATCGTCATCATCCTGGGACAAAAAGGAGAAAGATGGTAAGCTAACACCAAAACCAATAAGCAACATAGCTCTAAGTGCTTCGATTTTAATTTAGGAAGATTGAAACACGCTCTTTTGCTTATTTCATTTAACATGGACTATTAAGACCTACCAAAGAATGGACAGTCAAGTCTTCCAACTTGGGCTACACCAAGTAGATTATAAACAGGGCGACTGCATTTTGGTTTGGACAACAATGCACTGACACTGACTTTCTATGGCAATACTTCTAAACATACAAGGTACTCTGGCCTCTTGTTCAACTAAACTTTGAGGTTGTGCAACGTGACACTGCAGGATCTTAACAATGCTACGCACAACGCAAAACTGTCCATATAATGAACCCTAATAATCTATCCTATGTGCGCTAACATGACCTTCCTTAAGAGGCTAGTCCCTGCTTGCTTTATTATTTTTCTTTTTCTGACATACACTTTTTTGCTTTTATGGTTTGTCTACAGCACCACGCTTCTTTTTCAGAACGGAGCACTGACATGTGCCTTTGTTCTTTTTCCTTGAGTACATGTTTCACGGGCAAAAACATATATATTATCACTAAGTCTAGGCTATGCCTAATGCAGTGACAGATTCTCACGCACTTCAAAATATTCTGACCAAAATCTGCACTTGATGCATGTGGTTGAGTTCATTCTAAAACTCGTGCACCGGCATTAACACCAGCGTAAAAGTCGACACATTTTACCAAATATCGGCTTACTGACGATGATTCTGTTTGGAAATATTGTCGTGTTGCCAGTGTTGAGCAAAATTTGAGTGTTTCTTTTGCTGGGACCACATTTGATCAATAAATAATTATTTTTTGCTTGTTTCCCTGTCTGGGTCTTCACTGCTCCAACCACATGGCAATATCCTTGTTATCGTCATATCTTGCTTGTCATCATATCCAGGACTAAGAACAGACAAGCTTTATATCTTCAAGCAACAATAATTTATGTACGAATTATCACAATGACTTAACAATTATGATTGCGGCAACATACTTACAGGCACAGGATGACTCTGAAAAGATAAATAGATTTTAGTTGTGAGTGAATATTTGAGTTTAGGATTTGAAATAGAGTAATACATAATCAAATTATTCATTCGAATTGTGGATTCATGGTACTTATACTAGAACAGTCACACCCCGCTACAACAAAACTGACGGGGCGTGGAAAAAATTTCGTTGAAGCGAAAATTTCGTTGTAGTGAAATAAAAAAAATACAGTCGCCGACTGATTTTTCGGACTCCAAAAATTTTGACTTGTTGGATATTTCGGACTTCGAAAATGCACCGTCAGGGTTCACATAAGGTTAACGCATTTTTTGGACGAATTCGCCCCTGAAAGTTTAATTTTTTTAACTAAATCGCTTGTCTTGAGCTGCGCCACAAACCTGTATGGACACCGCCACGTTGGATTTTCCGCCGGCTTGAATAAGCTTAGTGGCTTAATTATAAAATGGCTTTCCCGCCCCCAAGTTTGGAATGCAAACGTCGTATTTCAAGTTTCGGAGGCCGTGTCTGCTTTAGAAAACGTGGCACGGAATCATTTTTTCATCTTCGGTCAGCCATAGTGGTCAGCACTGTTGTCATCGCACCGTACAGGGAGGAGGCGGAGCTACACAGTGGTGAAGTGAATGTGCCTGCCACAATAATGACGTCGCTCGTGGGGACGATGACAATTTCGTGCGCAGAGCCCACAGACGAAGAAATTCTTCGCCAGGCTGTGCCGCAGCCGGAGCATGGTTCAGACGACGACGACGATCACCCGCAGATATCGGCAGCGAAGATTGCACCACGGTGACGCTTTTGTCGAGCATTTATGGTGACGATGTCACCTTCGCGCAAATATGGGCGAACCAAATTGATTCCAAGCGTAGTATGAGGCAAGGCAGAATCATGGACTTTTTAAAGCCTGTCTGATGCAATAAAGTTCATATTTCTGACAAAAATGAATTTTTTGGACTGTTCGATTTTTTGGAGATTTTTTGGTCCCCGCCAGGTCCGAAAAATCGATCGGTGACTGTATAGCTGATCTGAGCTAGCAAAACAAAAGAACGTTCATTCTCAAAATTTAAAAAAAATGTCCGCTGCTTCCTATTCATTCCCAGAAGTGTCACGACATGATTCTAACTCATGCATAGCGAGGCCATGATGAAAAGCACGCTGAAACAATGCCTAAAATTGCCTTCGTGAATGAACCAAACAGTTGCATTAACACGTTTACAACAGCAGCTGTCCGCCGTCAAAAGTATCCAACAATGCCGAGATAGAGGCAGGGTATTGTGGAGCGGCGACTTTTATATTATTCTATGCCATTCTTATCATCCATCAGTAGCGGCTAGCTGATTTTGTTGATAATGTGGACGCACAATGGCGGCGCCTATGCTTGCTGAATAGCGATGGTTTCTGGGGGTGCCAACGCATGTTTTAGACTTTGTTGATGCATTTTAAGGCTCTGAAAATGCATCGAAATGTTAAAGACTGGGTTTACTGCATAGAAATAAGTAGCTGAGCCTGAAATTGCATCGTAAAATTTCATTGAAGCAGGGCGATCGAAGAAAAAGTTTTCGCTGTGGACACAATATTTATGCATTGACTCCTATGGACTGCTGACAGGGAATCGTGAATTTTTCCTTGTAGCCCCTACTACCAAGAGATAGCGCATCAGCCTAGCAGGCAAAAGGTCCGTGGTTCAAATGCCGGGGCCGGTGCAAGACCAGGAAACCATTTAAAAAAAAAGAAAAGAAAAAAGAAAGGCCTGGGGTGCGACCTCACGTCATCCTCAATTTAAGCTGAGTCCTCTTTGTAAGCCTCCAGGTTTCTGCAGCATAGGTAAGTACCAGCAAGATGTGGCTGTTACATACTTTCTTCTTGAGAGTTAGTGATAGATTACCATTCATGGTTTGAGAATGCTTGCCAAATGTGATCAACCCCATATTTATTACTTATTCTTCTAGTTATTTCACTCTCATGGTTTGGCTCTGTGGTTACTACCTGTCCTAAGAATATTCCTTTACAACTTCCGGTGTCCCTCCACCTATTGAAAAATGTTGTTTTCTGCCAAGACTTTTGCACATTACTTTACTTTTGTGCATATTAATTTTCAGGAAATTGAGCGCAACAGAAGGAGAGTCTTGATTGATATGTGGGGTTTAACGTCCTAAAACCACAATACGATTATGAGAGACGCCGTAGTGGAGGGCTCCGGAAATTTTGACCACCCGGGGTTTTTTTAACATGCACCCAAATCTGAGCACATGGGCTTACAGCCTTTCCACGTCCATCGAAAATGCAGCCGCCACAGCCAGGATTCGATCCTGCGACCTGCAAGTCAGCAGCCAAGTACCTTAGCCACTAGACCACCGCGGCGGGGCATTGAGAAGGAGAGTCATCCAGAGCACTAGGCCAGGCTAAGCTCGAAAGGTGAGATCAAATCTACCTTCATCCCCTTTTCAAAATTTTTTTCAAATCTTTAGAAAGATGGAGTTTGGAACAATTAATAGAAAAACAAGACAAGCTACCAGTAATGTGAAGTTGAGGACTGATAAGCAGTTATGTAGTTCTAAAAAGTGCTAAGAAAGTGAAACGAAACCCCTACTACCAAGAGATAGCATCTTAGCCTAGCAGGCGAAAGATCCGTGGTTCAAATGCCGGTGCCGGTGCAAGATCAGGAAACCATTTAATAAAACAGAAAAAAAAGTTCTGGGGTGCGGCCTCACTGGCGATCACCCTGCAGTATTTGGCAACCACCTCCCATGAAATTACCAGTTAGCCCTCGGCCCTCAGTCCTCAGTGGCTCATAAGCAACTGTCCAAGGCGGCGGTCAGACCTGCTATGCAGCGGAGGCTGCTAAGAATCTCTGGGTCTGGACAGGCCGCCTATTGGAATCAGAACTTGGCTACTTCAGCAGTGGAAGTGGGCTTCAGTGTTTGGGAGCAGCTCAGGGAGCAAGAATAATGCTGTTTTGGGGCAGCTTTGACACAGTAAAAAAGGAGTTTTGGCACATGTTCGGAGCACCAAAAGGCGTGTTTTGGAGCAACACGAGTTAGCTTTGGAGCAGCTGTCTAGAGTCAAACATCGTCATCATTCAAAACTATTGCTGGTAAAAAAAATTGCAATGGTTTTCACTAAACATTCAGTACCTATGAGTTTACTAGAATTACCACCTGCACGCTTGCGCACGTGCGTGTGTGTGCACATGCGTGCGTGCATTTGTATGTATTAGAAAACATGCCCATTTTACACTCTGCCTGAAACGAAAAATGATTCTGGGTGTTAAAAGCATGGAACTATTTCCTTACACCAACGTATCTACTACAGAATCTCACTACCCATCATAGTGTTGCACTGTTGATTTGTGAAACGGAGTATAGATAATCGCGGCGCACTTTGCTTGGCGAAAGTTCTTTATCGCAAAGCTAATAAAACACTACTCTGCTCATCTGGGCTCGGTGTGGAGCAAAGTGGGGACGAGCAATTCACTCACAAAATAAGCGCGCACGATACAGCGAGCCCCCCGGCAGCGACGGTGTAAGCAGCATAGGCGCCGTGCTGCACGGAACTAGTCAGAAGATGATCAGTGTCCATGCAACCGCTTCGTGTCTAAATAAAACTGTCAGTTGTCGCTTAGTATCATATCGCGGTATAGAAGCGCACATATTTATCGCGAAAAACTGACGGTATCCGTCCTGCCACTATTTCAGTCGCTGCGTATCCTGGACCAATAGTTTCAAAATGCTTCTTGGCATCACTACTGCGCTGGATAAAAAAAAAATTGCAAGAGAGCCAGCCAAGCATGATCTTTCACGTACTCTGGCAAAAAAGAAGAAAAAACTTTCTGGCAGGTACTTAGAGCGAGATCTGCCATGGTACTGTATTCGTTTATTGGTGGCGATGGGGCACGTCAGAAAATGCACATTTGCACTTGTTCGTTTATTGGTGGCGATGGGGCACGTCAGAAAATGCACAT